ATTTTTTCCTAAAAAGGCAATTCAGTTTCGTACAACTTTGTGTCTGATGTCATTCCGAATAGATGAGCCACTTTCATACTATGATTGATTGAAAAATATCAAATAGGGGAATTTACGTATTCTCGTCAATCTAAGCAGCGCCCGAACTTCTATTAGCGATTTCTCAGCGTCACACACATACATGACAGGTTTGTTTGTTGACATTTATCTGCTGCTTGCTGTTCTACCAATTCCAATCGACAGAATTGATCAAAACGGGTTGAACATGTTTTTACAACGCTCCAAACTTCTCAGGTGAGAGTGACTATTGTCGGCAGTCTCTTTTTCTTCGGCACCCTTTCCATTTGAACTGCGTGTTAACCAGCTGTTCTATTATCGGCAACTCGAAATCAGCCGTATTTTGTAGTATGTATATTTCATTTAAAGAAAAATATGGTATAACAGGAATTCACAGTCGTAAAAATATAATCAGATTGATGCTGAAAAGGTAAGGAATCGGGTTAATACATTCAGCGAAGAGTTTTGATGGGAAAATAAAGTGAAATAAACGTTTCAATTTCGGTTGCCGAAAACAGTCAATGGGTGCCGAAGCCATAATTGACCATACATCATTTTGAAAATTTATCCGAGAGTCGAAATAGCCATAAATAGTTCTTTGAGCAGTTCCACTCCAAATGACGAATAGAAGAAAGTCCACCTTCTTCGATTTGCATGGAACTTTGTATAATTGTTTGTTGCGGGCAATGATTCACATTTTTGCTAAAATTCGACCATTTTGGATCTTGTTAAATTTTCAAAATGGCGTCATTATAATTTTTCAAAAAATGTTCTCGTACGATTTTTGATTAAAAACAAATAATTTTTTGGTGTAAATTATGGACACTTAAAAATTGACTCGTAGAACACAAAATATTGGTAAAATTGTTGAACTTTTTATATGTACGATTTTTATGTAATTTATACTCAGACACTTTAAGACATTTCCTGCGAAAAAATAAACAAAAAAATATATATTTATATTTATAATTTGACCAAAGGTCTACTATTGTCCATGATTTTGCTGATTCCAAAAGTTTGCATTTTGGATAAACTTGTCACTGATTTTTTTTTGTTCTAGGGTAAACGCTCCTATAGTAGCGGTACGTTAGAAGCGTTAGGTTCCTATAGTTGTGTATGGAGACTCAATACACAACTATAGGAACCTAACGCTTCTAACGTACCGCAACTATAGGAGCGTTTACCCTAAAATCGGGCAAGAACATTTTAAGACATTTTAATTTTTTTGAATGTTTACCTAAAATAAATTTGTTTGTTCTCAAGCAGTTCCCAAATTTATTTGATAGATTCACGCCGATTCCTGCATTTTAGTACTGGAAATGAGTGCTATACTTACGTAGTAAAGGGTGCTACGATCAAAACAAGAATGCGTGTAAATTGATTAAATTTTTATTAAAAAAATCAAATTATTATATCTTAGTTCATTTAGTATAAAATATAGAAAAAATATTCAGTAAAACTTTCGGTTGACAGAATCCGAATTTCCGGGCGTTTCGTGTAACTCCTGCCATCAGATTCTATACGGCTCCCTCGTCCACTTTGTTCGCCGCAGAAAGCCAGTTTGCCTTAAGCTGGGTTTAGACAGGGCAAGTCAAATAAGCTGTCAATATGCCAAAGCGCCAACACGAACCCATGGGGGGATGCCTACAAAAAGGGGTCATGGCCAAGACCCGCGGCGTCGCGGCACCCCCGGAGAGATCGCTGGAGATTCTGGCGTCGATCGTTGGGTCCTTGTTTCCACGTAGGGACGTAGACTCCTGGCCGCGGATCCCAGTCGCGGATCAGGGAGAAGTGTCTAGAGTGACGAACAGAGAACTTCACTGATGAAATGAAATGAAATTCACTGATGTCAAGTCACTGATGGTGGGCAAGGCCACGGGCCCAGATGGGATCCCGGTTGTAGCTCTGAAGGCGGCCGTTACGGAAAATCCAGACATGTTCCGTTCTGGTTTTCAGACCTGTCTGGACGTAGGCATCTTCCCAGATGCGTGGAAGCGGCAGAGGCTGGTGCTGCTTCCGAAGCCAGGAAAACCCCCTGGGGACCCGTCAGCATACAGGCCCATTTGTTTGCTGGACACCACTGGTAAACTGCTTGAGAGGGTCATCCTCAACAGGTTGTCGGCTTACACTGAAGGTGTAGACGGCCTGTCAAGCAGCCAGTATGGGTTCCGTAAGGGCAGATCCACGGTGGAAGCCATCCGCGACGTCATCCAGACGGCAGAGGTGGTCCACCGGAAACGAAGGGGCATTCGTTACTGCGCGGTGGTAACCTTAGATGTGAAGAACGCGTTCAACAGCGCGTGCTGGGGGGTGATAGCCCGTTCGCCACACCAGCTCCAAATTCCCGGAGGCTGTACAAGATTCTGGAAAGCTACTTCCATAATCGTGTGTTGACGTACGACACAGAAGATGGCGAAAATGCGTAAAAGTCACCGCAGGAGTGCCACAAAGCTCCATCCTGGGCCCGGCGTTATGGAACGTCATGTACAATGGATTGTTGAGGATAAGATTCCCATTAGGCGTGAAAATTGCAGGTTTTGCCGGCGATGTCACGCTGGTAGTCTACGGGGAATCCCTCGAGGAGGTAGAGTTGACAGCGGCTCACTCCGTCAAGCTTGTGAAGGCATGGATGAGATCCAGGAAACTGGAGCTTGCCCATCACAAGACGAAAGTGTCTGTGTCATAGCAGGGATGATGCCAATCGGCCTCATCCTTAAGGAGGACATGGTGTGCTATGACGCGAAGACCGTTCGAGGGGTGCGCAACAACGCGCGAGCGGTGTCGACTGCGAGATGGCAGTCGGAGTGGGAAAACTCCACAAAGGGGAGGTGGACCTACCGCTTGATACCTTCCGTATCAAGCTGGGTCAACAGGCGCCACGGGGAAGTAAACTTCTACCTGACACAGTTCCTGTCAGGCCATGACTGCTTTAGGAGTTACTTGCATAGGTTCGGACATGCAAGTACTCCCACCTGCCCCGCGTGTGCTGACGTCGAAGAGACGGCCGAACACGTTGTATTCGCCTGTCCACGCTTCGAGCCAGTATCGAGCGCTATGCTAGCGATATGCGGAGCGGATACATCGTCCCTAGGATGTGTGGTACCACCGAGAACTGAAGCGCGGTGGTGACTGCGGTCACCCACATAGTTTCGGAACTACAACGACAGTGGCGTGCCGAGCAGCAGTTGCATACTGCCCGACTAGATCGATAGACTATTGCTAGAGAAGCGCCATAGGGCTATAGCGGCCCCTCCCACGAAGTAATGCCTTCGGGCGGTTCCGGGGAGGTCAAGGGCCAAGCGCACAGGGTAAGGTTTAGTGGGTCGGGAGTGCAATTCTCCCATCCCCACACCCTGAGTTCATTCTCAGGTGTCTGTAAGCAGATTTCTCCCTGTATAAAAAAAAAGACAGGGCAAGTCAAATGATCAATTCAGTTGAACTCAATTGAACGTGTAAACCATGTCATTCAACTGACTTGATCAACTCACTTGAATTGAAAAAAGTTGAACTAGGCTCAACTTTTCAAGCCAATTGAATTCAACTGATTGATCATTTGACTTGCCTAGTCTAAACCCAGTTTTAAGGTGATTCGCTGTGACATACTTATTCTCGTAACCACTTTGAAATTTTAAGTGCACAAATATCAGCTTCTACGACACGTGGAACATTCAAATGGTTACTCCACGTTTGCTGCACATACATGAAGTAGCAATTTCAGGTGAAATTGAAAATTCGAAGTGGAAGTGCATGTACAGCCTACGTAGCGGCCATTTGTGGACTCTACAAGAAATCACCTTAAACTGCTTCTCGCTCCAACAGTGTTTTGGGGCTTCTTCAGGTCGTGCCAATGTGATGGCGCAATAATTTCAGATTGGGCTGAGTAATGACAGGATGCCAAATCCGAAGTTTTACCAGACACTAGTTCACGTAAATTTCCTGGTTGATGGTCCCGGATGCAATGCAAATGTAACTTTTTTAACCACAGGTACAGATAGCCTGCCAAACCAGATATTTCTTAGCGAACTTCGACAGTGTCATATGCTTGAAAATGTCTGCCACCTTTTCCCGTACAAAACTCCTGCCCAGAAAGCTGTTTGAAGTCTGCCTTGATGCAGGTTTCGTCGTCCATAACAGGTATTGACTTCGCCACTTGTAGTGGCTACTCTGGATCCACTTTTCACATGACGTGCGCCGGAATGAGTCGCGCTTTGCTGTCGTATTTCACATCCAACAAAAAGAACTTGTTTTGGATGTGTGATGGATGTGCGGAACTGTTCGAAAACTCACATTTTCGGACAATGACTATGCCAACTAACAATGCAGGGCCGATTTGTTCATTAACAAATGCTATCACGGAGCTACGCAACGAAATACAGCAGATGGCCGTTAAGTCCACTGCTCCGACAACGCCATCGAGGAAAAGGTGGCCTACAGTAGGTCCTCTCGTGACATCCAAACGCCAACGAGATGTTGATGGTGAAACACGTGCTCCTGATGCATGTCAGGTGGGTAGCAAACAACCAACTGACAATGTAGTTGTTGTTCCCACAAGTACTGACCAGAGAGAACTAAAATTCTGGCTGTACTTATCTCATATTCATCCGGAAGTTGCCAATGAAGCGGTTTCTGCCATGGTGAAAGCTAATTTGGAAACAGATGACAACCCTGTTGTCATAAAACTTGTACCCAAGGGAAAGGACATCAGCACGCTGTCATTCGTATCCTTCAAAGTTGGCATCGACAAAAGATTGAAGACTAAGGCACTGGATGCTGCAACCTGGCCCGAGAGCATCATGTTCCGCAAGTTCGAAAATTTTGGTGCGCAAAAATCTCAACATCCAACGAAGCTGGCAAAACTGGATCCAAATACGCAAACACCCAAAACGGACACCCCAACAATGGACCAGACATAGTGAAGTTAAAAATCATTCTGGGACGCACCGATGGAAGCCACCAATTCTCTCACCACAGTCGAGCCATTCGTGCCAGCGTTCTACAGTCGTCCCGGCCCTGTGTGTGAGTTGAAAAGGTGGTCTTCCAGTCTGTTACGTCAGGCAAGTATCATCTGTTTCTCGACCAGTACCACTCCTGATTCGTTCATTGGTTCCAGTGCATTATTAGTCATCAACCATCCATCGCCCGCCTGTCACCTGAACACTCTGGGACGCATTGAAGTTAGCACTGCGGAAGCCCCTTCTTCTTCCGCCACAGTCGAGTTAATCCAGTCATCGTCCTGCAGTCGTCCTGGACCTGTGTGTGGGCTTGGAGAAGGGGTCTTCCAACCCGCAACTCAAGGCAAGTATGTTCGTGTCATCACCAGTTTCGCTCCTAATTTGTTCGTTGCTTCCAGCGCCTCACCGCCTCAAGAGCAACAACCGGCTGGTTCGACTGAAACGTCATACTCCGATGGCTTCAAATCCCACATCACCGATGGGACATACAGCACTGCACCGGATCTTGCTCGCCACGTTTTGGAACATCCCAGACCAGAACGCGTTGCCTGCTGCCTCAAGGAAGCCCCTGAGCCACTCAACCCAGTCGCGCTTGCTGATTCCTGTCATCGTAGTCGTTCTGGCCCTGTGGTTGAGAATGGTGAAGGGGTCTTCCAACCTTCTACATCAGGCAAGTATGCGTTTGTTGAAAACAGTTCTTCTCCTGATCCGTCTCTGTGTTCCAGAGTACCACCATGCTCGTTTCGGCTGATCGATCATTCTGCAGACCTCCAACCGACTTCGTTCGACCGCCTGTTGGTGTATTACCAGAACGTTAGTGGCCTGCGAACAAAGATTGATGATTTTTTCCTGACTGCCGTTGACTCTGACTACGATGTCATAGTTCTTACGGAAACTTGGCTCGATGAATTCATCTCAATTATTTGGCAGTCTATTCACGGTATTTCGAAACGACCGCAACCACCAGAATAGTACCAAATCGCGTGGGGGAGGCGTCTTGATTGCGGTATCCAAACGCCTAAGCTCCTGCATCGATCCTGCTCCAGTTTGCACTTCTCTAGAGCAGCTGTGGGTCAAAATAACGACGCCTCGTAGATCAATAAATATTGGCGCTATGTATCTACCGCCAGACCGAAAATCTGATTCGATCAGCATTGCAAACCACATCAGTTCGATTGGTACCGTGTTCTCTCGACTAGAACAAAACGATCTAGCTCTGATATTTGGTGACTACAATCAGTCTGGGCACCCATGGAACGTTCCTGCAAACGATCTTCCTAGCATTGATGTTCTTCGCTCGAACATGCCCGCATCCTGCTGTGCTCTCCTTGATGGTTTCAACCTGCATGGCTTAACGCAAATCAACTCGATACTGAGTAGTAACTCTCGGCTACTTGATCTCGTTCTGGCGAACGAAGCTGCAGGACTGGAATGTTCTATCCTAGAAGCCCCAGAGCCTTTGATTGGCATCGACACCAATCATCCTGCGTTGGAAGTTTCCATCAACCTGTCTGTTCCTGTTTGCTACGATAACCCTCCTGTTGATGTACATGAGCTCGACTTTCGTAGAGCAGATTTCGTCGCGCTGAGTCACTCGCTTGCCCAGGCAGATTGGCAGTTCCTTGACACGTGTTCATCTATAACTGATTCTATCCCATTGAGGAGGCCCTCTCCCAAACCCGTATGGTCCAATGCTCGACTACGGAATTTGAAGCGTCTGACATCGAAGGCCCTCCGTAAATACTGTCGTACTCGTAACCCATTCACCAAACGATTATTTTCAACAGCAAGCAACGAATATCGCACATATAACCGCATTCTTTACAAGAGCTACACAAGGCGTGTGCAGGCTAATTTACGGCTTAATCCAAAGCAGTTCTGGTCATTCGTGAATACCAAACGAAACGAGGAGGGGCTACTAAAGGGCCCAAGTAACAATCTAAATGCTTGGAAGCTTTATTCTTATTTTATCATTGTTTTATCATAGCATCCCTTCCAGCCTGTGGTTGTATTACGGTTTTATGACTACTAAATTAAAACTCAGACTTCATAGTTTTAACGGTAGCTGTAAGGTGGTTCTGCATCACTGCTTATAACTGAAGAATAAAACCAAAACAAAACATAAAATTATGTTTTATGGTACACTTTTTATGACCGATATAAAACTTGAAGCAGTCTTAGAGCTTCATTAAAGCTTCATTACAACTATCATCTTTATCAGAGGCCTAAGATTCACAGATAAGAAATATACTGCTACAACAAAAAATACTCTGAAATTTTTTGTTATTATAAAAAACAAATCTATTCAGATATATGAAATGAAAACCCCTTCAGTGCTTCTGAACACGATGAAGATGAGACGATCGACAATATGAAACTCCTGGAGGAACTACAGTTATACGATCCCTACATAAGGCACAGTGAGGTGAAGGAGCTCTTAAAAATAATGAACAAGCGGCTTTCCGATACACTTCCGAAAGATCCACGAACCCTTCTTAAAGCAACGCCGACAGTTTCACTAAATCCGTTTGGAGATCGCCAGTATTGACGACACGGCTTTAAACCTTGTATTGAAAAAGCTTTTAGTGGATCCAATAAGCATTTCTTACATCTTGATTACAAGCGAAAATAGGAGGATCGCTTGGAATGTTGACTTTTTGACAGGTGGTCATGGTTTTTGTTTTGTTTTGATTCGCTGTACCGAATAAAACCAGCAAGCTAGTTATATAGCTTAAATATAACTTAAAGCTCTCAATTTGGACTACGAAATGCTAAGATACAACCATTAGGTTTATGTTATGCTATAGAATTCCAATCTAGGAGAATATGTTATATTGAGGTATTTTTAAGGAGTAGCAAGTTATAACGAAAAAAAATGTCGCCGTATGAACAAATTTCACACAGTATGAATAATTACGCTTTAATTGATAGGCAATAAAACACTTTCATACATCTATGTATAATTAAATAATATGTGACTGGTTATTGCTCAACAGTAGTAACAGTTTTGTACTAAATAGATAATCTTTGAATGACTCTTTAATGCATGGTGCTAATGCAGACAAATTAAAAATATCCCTGTATTTTAGTATTCATATGGCGCACTAAATTTATGCTCCTATTTGGTATAATAATCACCATAAATATTGCACGGCATGCTGTGAAGCATATACAGATTGGTTTAAAATTATAATAAAGTCGTCTTATTTTCAATGTACAATAATATCAGCCATTATTACCAACTGACAAGGATCATGATTTCACATCAAACATCGAAAGAATAAAACCACAATAAAATATTTCTCAATATTAACTATCATCCAAAAACCCCAACTTAAAACCTTCAAAGTTGTCAACATGTTTTGCGTATCATGTTTTATCAACTTCTTCAGGAGCGATTCATGCGGTTGTAATATAGTTTTATGGTAGTCATTAGAAGGCTGTTAAAACATTCTGACCTGGAGGAGGTTTTATGTTTTCATTTTTAACAATCACGTCTAGAGTGTGATAAAACTGACATAAATCCTATGCTCCTAAAGTAGTTCGCATATCAAGTTTTAATGACTGCATTAAAACTGGGCCAATTGGCCATGACATGGCTGTATTGCGGTTCTCAGGAGATTGTTAAAGCAATGTGGTCGTCAGTGAAGGTTTTATAATTTGGTTATATCAACTGCTATAAAACTTAAATAAAACAAAAACTGTTGCTTGGGGGTGATACGGTCAAAATTTGGTCAATATCAACTTGACGTATTTCTTTCAATTTTGCATTTAAAAAACCTGAACACCCTCATTTTGAAGGTGTGTGTGTGTAGAATGTTGCTCCTATTTTGATTTTGGAATTCACTCTTCAGTTGTCAAAATGCCGTCCAAGCAAGAAGAGCAGCGTATCAAAATTTTGCTCGCGCATCGCGAAAATCCGAGCTACTCGCACGCAAAGTTGGCAAAATCGCTAAAAGTTGCCAAATCAACCGTTACAAATGTAATTAAAGTGTTTGGGGAACGTTTGTCGACAGCCAGGAAGTCTGGATCGGGGGGAAATCGAAAACCGGAAGCCGCTGAGACGACAAAGAGAGTTGCCGGTAGTTTCAAGCGAAACCCTAACCTCTCTCTCCGAGATGCCGCAAATAAGCTGGGTGTATCGTCTACAACCGTGCATCGAGCCAAAAAACGAGCCGGACTATCGACTTACAAGAAGGTAGTGACTCCAAATCGCGATGATAAACAAAATACGACGGCCAAAGCGCGATCCCGGAGGCTGTACACGACGATGCTGACGATGTTTGACTGCGTGGTAATGGACGACGAAACCTACGTCAAAGCCGACTACAAGCAGCTTCCGGGACAGGAGTTTTATACGGCAAAAGGAAGGGGAAAGGTAGCAGATGTTTTCAAGCACATGAAACTGTCAAAGTTCGCAAAGAAATATCTGGTTTGGCAAGCCATCTGTACCTGTGGCTTGAAAAGCAGCATTTTCATAGCTTCCGGGACTGTCAACCAAGAAATTTACGTGAAAGAGTGTTTGAATAAACGTCTGCTGCCTTTCCTGAAGAAACACGGTTGTTCCGTACTGTTTTGGCCGGATTGGGCATCTTGCCATTACGGTAAAAAGGCTATGGAGTGGTACGCCGCCAACAACGTGCAGGTGGTTCCCAAGGACAAGAACCCTCCCAACACGCCAGAGCTCCGCCCAATTGAGAAATACTGGGCTATTGTCAAGCGGAACCTAAAGAAGACCAAAAAACTGCTAAGGGCGAGCAGCAGTTCAAGGCAAACTGGCTTTCTGCGGCGAAGAAGGTGGACAAGGTGGCTGTACAAAATCTGATGGCAGGGGTCAAGCGTAAGGCCCGGCAATTCGGATTTGGAAAAGCGGAAGCCTAACTGAATATTTTTCCTGAATTTTATACTAATTGAACTTGAAAAAGAAATTTAATTTGATTTTTTAAATAAATGATTTCACCGATTTACACGCGTTTTCCCTTGACCAAATTTTGACCGTATCACCCTTTAGTCGAAATTCACCTGGGTGATAGAATCGGCAGCAATTCCCTTGAGAAATGCAATCTTCTGGCAGAACATTTCAAAAGCATTTTCAATGACATTACGGCTTCGTTGTCCCAAGTTGCTGAAGCGGTGAGGGACACTCCCAGTGATGCTTTCAATTTTTCGATTACCTCGGTTACAGTAGACCTCGTCGAATCCGCCATCAAGAAGCTGAAATTTTCTAATGCTGCTGGCCCTGACGGGATCCCCTCAAGCATCCTGAAGCGATGCTGTTCAGAGCTTGCAACACCGCTTTCGAAGCTGTTCAATATTTCATTACAGCAGGGGGAGTTCCCTACGCGTTGGAAATCGTCATTCATGTTCCCGATCTACAAGAAAGGAGACAAGAGAAACGTCGAAAATTACCGAGGGATCACATCACTCAGTGCCTGCTCTAAAGTTTTTGAAATCATCATCAACGACGCATTATTCTCTAGCTGCAGAAATTACATTTCTCCTGACCAACAAGGTTTTTATCCCAAGAGATCAGTTTCAACAAATCTAGCTCCGTTCATTTCTTTATGTCTTCGGAGTATGGAAGCTGGAGCGCAGGTGGACGTTGTATATACAGATCTCAAGGCTGCATTCGACCGGGTTGACCACTCCATACTGCTAGCTAAACTAGAAAAACTCGGTGTATCCTCGGGTTTAACTCGTTGGTTCAAGTCCTATCTGACCAACCGGGAACTTTGTGTTAGAATCGGATCAGAGCAATCGGACTATTTTACAAACAGCTCCGGTGTTCCTCAAGGTAGCAACTTGGGACCATTGCTATTCTCAATTTTTGTGAATGAGGCCGAACTGATCCTCCCAACTGGTTGCCGATCGTTCTACGCGGATGATGTGAAGATCTATGTGATTGTTCGTAGCTTCGCCGATTGCTTGCGGCTTCAGCACCTAATCGATACTTTCGAAGAGTGGTGCTCAAGAAACTATCTCACGTTGAATGTACAAAAATGTTATATTATCTCATTTCATCGCAAGCTGAAACCAGTGGCATTCAACTATACGATAAATCACCAACTTCTGCAACGTGTGGACATTGTTCGTGGCCTAGGAATCACGCTGGACTGCGCCTTAACAAACAAGCTTCATTACTCGGGCATCGTTGCGAAAGCTAACAGGCAACTCGGGTTCATTTTCAAGATCGCTGACGAGTTTCGCGATCCTGCCTGTCTAAAAGCTCTATACTGCTCTCTAGTGCGATCGACCTTGGAATTCAGCTCGGTAGTATGGTGCCCGTATCAAGCAGTTTGGATAGCGAAGATTGAATCTGTTCAAAGGAAATTTGTTCGGTATGCCTTTCGTCACCTTCCTTGGAATGACCCTGTGAACCTTCCACCGTACGAAGATCGTTGTCAACTCCTGGGTCTTGAAACACTAGAACATAGGCGGACGATTAGTCAGGCCGTATTCGCAGCGAAAGTACTTATTGGTGATATCGACTCTCCAGGAATCTTGGCTGAATTCGAAATCTACGCACCCGAACGAGTTCTTCGATCGAGGAGTTTCCTGCATCTTGGACCTCGTGCTGCGAACTACAGCTTGCATGACCCAATACGTTTCATGTCTGGGCGTTTCAACGAGTTTTACGAGTTTTTCGACTTCAACTGTGCAGCGGAAACCTTTCGTCACCGTATTCAACGCAGACTTCTGAGAAGGACTTCTACCTGATTCACGGACAACTCTATGCCATAGGAGGATAACTTTTTTATGCTATAGACTTGATTAATGTTCGTTGTTATTGTATTGTATTGTATTATTGTGATTCATGTATTTCGAAAAGATATGGGGTTTTTACGCCTTTTCTAGGCTTTTCCCCATCAGGCTACATTTAGACACGTTAAGTCCGATGAAGAAAAACAAAATAAATAAATAAAATAAATAATGGCATTTGGCCTAGTTACCCATTCAGCCTAATGCCCCTACACCAGTAAAAGGTAGTATTTCCGCCATAATCTGACGTCAAATGCTAATTTTTCTTTGAATTGGCAATATTAGCTAGTAAAAGCAATATCAAACGCACCGAGAAATGTTAATCCAAACGAGTTATTAGAGAAAATCGATGAAGAGAATCGATCATTGCAGCTAGGCCCTTATGATTCTGAACGCTAGATATTATTCACACTGTCTCTAATTGGATGAACTTTTTTTTTTCAAATTGCGGATTTGCTCGATAATGTTCATAAAGTATTGAGTCTCCTGAGTCCGATAAAAAAAAAACAATCGTGTGAAGAGGATTTGAAATATCCAATAACCTTGCTTAAATTATCGATTACTGTCGAGTAAATCAATCATCAAATAATCGCCTTCGTTCTCATCTGTCTGCAAATATGCGTTTCCCTAGGATCTCTGTCGTTTTCAATTTCCAGGCAAATCGTAAAACATTTGTTATCGTTCCTCATTTCCGTGACTTTACATCCATCCCGAACAATCGCTCGGAACGTTGTAGCATTAAACATTCCTGAATTCTGTTTCTCGTTCTCCTCTCATCGCTTCTTGCTTCCTTCTCAATCGAACAAGCTTTTCTTCTTATTCAAGAAATTTACTGGCGGAAGTAAAGCGGCATTGGATTCCCTTCAGGCGATGGCAAAACACACACATACACACTCCCTACCACCCACCGCCCCGCCATCCTATTCATTTATTCAAATCGCTGCGAACATGCTTCCCCCCGGAATACATAGAGACGAAAATGACAGAACGTAAAAGCTTTTCCCACCACCTTTGTAACTTCTCTCCGGGATTCAAGGCGAGAAGAGATGCTGCGACACCGGGGAATGCGGAAATACGCAAAAATCAGTCGTTCGTCTTTGGTTTGCTCAGCACTTGAACAGGCGGCGGTGGAGATGGGCCGATCGAAGGACACTCACTCATTCACTTACTCACTCATAATCATTTCCGCGCATCTTCGTCGCTCTCGTCGTTTCGAGAGGTTCCGAAGGGCTGCTGACTATCATCAATTTGTGTGCTTCTTTGGGGGTCAATCTTTTTTGGGGAGGGTTTCTTAGCATTGAGGAAGGTTTTCATAAATTGGACTGGGTTCATAAATGATAAGTCGTCAGCCATGCGTCTCCATGAGCTCGTTCCGGGTCTATAGGATCGAGCTCCTTGCTCCATTCGAATCGCACGGCGACTTCCTACGATTGATATTCATTATAGTAATTTCATAAATGGTCCGAAAGTGCATTCCTGTGCGGTCAATGTCGGAACGTTAGCTGTAGCTACCTACACTTGCGCTTCTGCAGTGGCATTGCTCGGGAGGATGAGTGAAATCAACAGGATGAAAACAAATGCAGTTTCTTGCCATGTTATTGAAAAGTGGCGCTCCGGGTTTCTTTCTCTCTCTCGGTTGTATGGTTTTTCTCATTTTGGAGCTTTTGTTCCGGCCGACGTTGCACGAAAGTGAAAGCTCTCTAACCGTCCAGAGCTGTGAAGAGGGGAGTTGATGGGAAATTGATGCATACTTCGGCGTGCGGCCGTGTTGGCAACGTTTTGGGTTAGCTTGTGTTCTGGAAATGTATTGTTTGGAAGAAGATTTAATTAGACATCTTAGCACGCAATTATCAATTATTACACATTTGACCAAGTCTTAGCTCTGGAAAATTTTCAGAGATTTTTTTAAAGAATCATTGAGATTTTTTCCGAGTCTGGGATGTTTAAAATAAGGTCTAAATCTGCTTCTTGGAAATTTCCCCCTGAACATAAATTTATTTGAAATTCATGATTTCAAGAACGTTTACGAATAGCTTCTCTCATTATTCAAGATTTAACCTAATGGCCATCGAAAAATGTTGAAGATTATGGAACATATAAACCAAAATTTTGAGACACAGGAGATGCCCCGAAAAAAAATCAGACTTATATTAACTAGACCTGTGCGCCGGTCTTATCATTGGCGGTGGTGGCATTGATACCATTTTCGATAGGCAACAAGGTAGGCGGCTTGCATCGGCGTATCACTACGGTGGCTATTAAACTTTTCCTTTTTAAACTTGAATCTAATCCAAAATATTGTATTACCAATTAAGGACCCCCGCTAATTTGAACTGTACTTCATTCATATTTACGGGGTTAATTTTTACTTTAAACTTATAGTAACCCTATTGTAATTGGCATCAGAAAAGCGTGTTTCTGGAAGGCTTATTTGTTGTTTTTGTTTTGATTCTACGATCCTTTTTACAATGTTCCATTTCGTTTTTCTCCATTCCCTGAGCTTAATGACGTTTGAGCCATTTTTAATTTACACTACGTGCAGATTAGCGAGGTTCAAATTTATAAACATCCGATTACCGGGGGTCCACTGTATTAGTTGAAGTACAATACCGTGGACCCCCGATAATCTGACGATTTTAAATTTTAACCCCGCTAAGGGGGTGTTCATTAACTACTTAAACAGTTTTTTTGGGATTGGTTTGATCCCTCGCGGTAACATAAAAACTCTTTTCAACCGAGCCCAGAATATTTTCAAACACACGCGAACTTATTGCATAAGTTTCCAAGCGTCCACTAGTTAACAAGTTTTACGTTTTTCACACTTGCCATTTATTACCCCTACAAAGCAGAGCTGGACGATCTTTAAGATTATTAAGTATGACATCTTAATTAGATAAGCAAACTGCTTAAAGTTATATATATGAACTCTCTCTACAGTTTAGTAATTTAAATTGGAAAAAGCTTAGGCGATCATTTTCAGCGATCAAGAGCTTATCAATAATCAACAAAGCATCCCTTTACACTAGCAACCCCGCATGGGGTGTGGTGACACATTTCACGTGATTTGTGCCAAAGTTGATCTCGAACTTCTCGATCAACTTGGATTGTACGAGAAGAATGTCTTCTGGATGTGCGATCACTGTGCGGCGCTTTTTTCAAACGGCCACTTCCGTAATATCGTGAGCCGTGACGTCAATCAGACTTCTGTGGCTCCAAACGCGGTTGATTCGATGAAAGAGGACATCGAGAAATTGAATTCGGCTGTTATTGCTCTTGCAGCCAAAGTGGAATCGAAGATCCCAGTCAGCTCAACTCCACGTTGGCCTAAAAATGACCGCTTTGATTCCGGTCGTGGCACCCCGAAACGTCGCCGTACTTCATCTAGCACTGACGACAAGCCCATACTGTGTGGTAAGAAAGCACCTATCGACTCGGTCAGAACCGTGGACCTGAACGATGATCTGGTGTGGGTTTACTTATCGGCGTTTCATCCCACTACTACGAACGATGAAATTTCATCTCTTGTCTCTAAGTGTTTGTGTCTGGAAACAGACGAGAAACCTCGGGTTGCCAAGTTGGTTCCCAGATGAAAAGATCCGTCAACGTTTCCTTCAAAGTCGGCGTCAACCAAAACAAACGGGATGTTGCCCTTTCCTGCGATTCGTGGCCGGAGGGCATTCAGTTCCGTGAGTTCGATGATTCCCGGTCAAAGAAGGTGACCAAAATCACCCGTATTGGTCCAGCACAGTGACACCAGTTCCAGGATACTTCCTTTTCAATTACATACGTGCTGTTGGGCGGATCTGGGACGCAACAACACAGCGCTTCGGAAGCCTCTGATCCCTCCGAACCAGTCGAGCTGTTTGTAGATCTAATCATCAGAAGTCGTCCTGGCCCTGGTTTTGGAATCGGTGACGAGGTCTTCCAGCCTGTACTTACAGGCAAGTATCGATACGTTCCAAAACCTTCTTTTTCTGAGCCACCTTCTGCTTCCAGCAGCGAATACTTAACGCAACCATCCGATCCAACCTCGCCTTCTGAAAACGACGTAGTAAGCTCGATGTCTTCTGAACTCTGGATGAACCAATCTGCTTTGCAACCGGGAGGCATCGTGGAAAGCTTTATGGAAGCCCCCGGTTCCTCTAACTCAGTCGTGCTAATTCCTGTCAGCGTTCATCATAGTCGTCCTGGCCCTGATTTTATATGTGGATTGGGGGTCTTCCAACTTGCTAGAACAGGCGAGTACATAATTAATAGCGCAAATACGATGTCTGATGCCGATCCAAATTTCAGCACCTTGCATGCCGCCGAATCAACTCTCGTACCTCGGAGCCCGGAACGCGCCGTAGAAAGCCTCGTGGAAGCCCCTGATCCCTCCGTCTCAGTCCAGCCATTTGCTGCCGCCGCTCACCATAGTCGTTCCGGACCTGTAGTCGGATGTGGAGAGGGGGTCTTCCAACCCAGTCACTATGGCGAGTATCCGCATGGTATTGTTAATGTTCATTCGCTGCCTGATGCTTCCGTGATTTCTAGGAAGAACAGACGTTCGATTGTAAGCCGCAAGCAGGACATCGTGATTTTCTTCCAAAACGCCGGCGGAATGAATTCTGATGTTGACGACTACCGGCTTGCTGTATCGGATCGTTGCTATGATGTGATTGTCCTATGCGAGACGTGGCTTGATTCGCGAACGCTTTCCAGCCAGGTGTTCGGATCCGATTATGAGGTTTTTCGTTGCGATCGGAATCCAAACAACAGCCGAAAATCTACTGGTGGTGGCGTTCTTGTGGCTGTCCGTTCCGGATTGGAGGCGAGAGCAATCGAAAATGAATCGTGAAACAGTGTGGAACAGGTTTGGACAGCCATTAAACTGGGCGATCGCACATTATTTTTGTGCGCATTGTACATGCCACCAGATCGAGTTCGTGATCTTGAACTCATCGAGACTCACTGTCAATCAGTCTTCACAGTAATGGAAAGAGCGACTCCAATTGATGAGCTATTCATTTTTGGGGACTTTAACCTAGCAGGCGTTTCGTGGAGACCATCCCATAGCGGCTTCCTCTATCCAGATCCAGAGCGTTCTGTATTTCATGCAGGAGCTATCGGCCTTCTCGATAACTATAGCGTAGCAACGCTTTCTCAAATTAACTACGTAGTCAACGAGAACAACCATAGTTTGGACCTCTGCTTCGTGAGCACTCAGGACAATGCTCCGTTCATTTCCACAGCACCTTGTCCACTAGTTAAGCTTGTTCCGCACCACCCTCCTCTGATTGTCACTGTTGAGGACAATCTCGTTCGTGATTTCGATAGTCTTCCTGCTGCGGTTTCTTATGACTTTCGAAAGGCCGACCATCGAAGCATTGTAGATGTGTTGTCAAACATGGACTGGGAGAACATTCTCGATCATGACGACGTTGAGGCCGCTGCGCAAACTTTTTCTCATGTCTTGGCATATGTCATTGACAGACACGTCCCGAAAAGAATTCAACGCAAAGACTCTCACCCTCCCTGGCAGACGATTGAGCTGCGTAGGTTGAAGTCGACCAAGAGAGCAGCATTGAGAAGATTTACGAAGTATCGCACGCTTCCTCTGAAACATCACGTCGTGAGGCTTAATCACGAATATCAGCGAGCCAGTCGTCGATGCTTTCTGCGATTTCAACGAGGTATTCAGCGTAACCTTAAACTTCACCCGAAATCCTTCTGGAACTACGTGAACGAGCAACGCAGAGAATCTGGCCTCCCATCGTCAATGGAATTGAACAGTGAAGTCGCTTCCACTCCGCAGGATATTTGTCGCCTTTTTTCTGTCAATTTTGCCAGTGTGTTCACTGATGAGAGACTAAGTGACGACCATGTTTCCCTCGCAGCCAGGAACATCCCACTAAATGGTCAAACGCTGAGTGCAATTGATGTCAACGTTGAGATGATTTCTAACGCTGCAACGCAGCTCAAATCGTCCTTCAACCCTGGACCCGATGGAGTTCCGTCCGTGTTTTTGAAGAAACATATTGCTTGCTTGTTAACTCCACTTCACCGTCTATTCCGGATGTCTCTCTCCAGTGGTATATTTCCATCCTTCTGGAAATGTGCACACATGTTTCCTGTCCACAAAAAGGGAAGCAAACGAGCCGTGGATAACTATCGTGGAATTACATCGCTGAGTGCTGTTTCGAAACTATTCGAGCTTGTTATTATGGAACCGTTGTTCTCTCACAGCAAGCAGTATCTGAGTGCTGATCAACACGGGTTTACTGGCGGTCGCTCTACAACCACCAATCTGCTATGCCTCACATCCTACATTACCGATAGTATGACTGAACGGGTACAGACGGACGTTATATATACCGATCTATCCGCGGCATTCGATAAGTTGAATCATGACATTGCGATTGCTAAACTTGACAGGCTTGGGGTGAGCGGTAATCTCTTGAGTTGGTTCCGTTCGTATCTTACTGGTCGCCAACTTATGGTTGCTATAGGAGATTGCAAATCAGCTAGCTTCTTTGCCACATCAGGTATACCGCAGGGAAGCCATCTGGGACCGTTGATTTTTCTACTCTACTTCAACGACGTGAACCTGGTTATCGAAGGACCACGATTAGCATATGCAGACGACCTCAAAATATTTTTACGAATTTGCTCGATCGCTGACTGCCACAATCTTCAACATCAGCTTAATGTCTTTGCCAGTTGGTGTACTTTAAATCGAATGGTAGTGAACCCAGCAAAGTGCTCTGCCATAACGTTCTCACGAAAAAAGCAACCGATTGTATTCAGCTATGACCTGCTTGGAACGACACTCGAACGCGTGAATCAGGTGAAAGACCTGGGTGTGGTGTTGGATTCACAGCTAACATTCAGGCAACACATTTCTTATGTCATCAATAAGTCGTCTAGGACTTTAGGATTCATCTTCAGGATAGCTAAGAATTTCGCCGATGTCTACTGCTTAAAATCTCTTTACTGCTCCCTCGTACGATCGACGCTTGAGTATTGTTCTGCGGTTTGGAATCCGAATTACAACAATGGTGCCGAGAGAATCGAATCTGTTCAACGTCGCTTTCTTCGTTTTGCGCTTCGTAGACTGCCCTGGAGAGATCCGCTTCGGCTGCCCAGCTACGAGAGTCGCTGCCAACTGATAAACCTTGAACCTCTCCGGATTAGAAGTGACACCAACAGAGCTTTGATTATCGCCGACACTCTACAGGGACGAATAGATTGTGAGGCTATCCTAAGGCAAATTGACCTAAACGTGCAACCCCGACCACTCCGTAACAACCTCATGCTGAGACTGCCACTGCGTCGCACGAACTACGGGGCATATGGTGCGATTTGCGGACTACAGCGTGTGTTCAATAGAGTCGCATCTGTATTCGACTTTCACCTCACACGTGATGCGCTTCGTCGGAGATTCTCATCTGTTTTCGCCGGCCGCAGTGACTGACAGAGAAAATTAGTGTTTTTCCATTTATGTTTTTTTTTTACATTCTGACCAAAGTGCTTTGTTTTTCTTTCTGTGATTATTTGACATGTAATTTTGCTATTATTATTTTTATGATTAGTATTATTAACATCATTTGGGCTACAGCCAGCCTGTTGATGTATGGCAACAATAAACAATTAAGCATGCTTATGCAATCATAACTTTCAGCGAGGTAAGGATTTTCATGGAACCCCAACATTCAGCTAGAAAACTTATTACTAATTCAAGGCTTCATCCAAATAACCTTCAAAGTTTATTTATTTGATTGTTAAATTCAGTCCTTTATATCCATAATACGTGTGCGAGGCTCAAACAGTGCTCTCACGAAAAATTTAGATCTGGTTACTCTCTGATTTTTCCTATGTCCTCCCTCCAATCATTTGGTGATCAGTTGGTGGATCAAAACGCTACGATGTTTTATGTTTGACGTTTCAGTCTTTGGACTTGATATGTTTCATGGGATTTAAAGTTGTACTAGCTTCCGTTCATCGCAAAAAGTTTTACTAGCCCTGATGAATATCCCCACCTCTTGATCGATACCCAAACATAAGTAATAATTCTTCAAGATCTTCAAAAGTCTAGACTTTTCAGAAGAATTCAATGCTTCTCTGATGCTATTGGTACTGCCCTAAAAATTTCCAAACTTCAACAAATTTCTCAAGACTTCCCTGAATTTGTCAAAAAAAAAATTAATTTATTTCGCATTTTTCCTCAAATTAATTGATCTGAAGATCTGAGAACTTTGCGGAAGTATTTGGAAATCCTCTGAGTTTATAGTTACGTTAATTGAGCTGCGCTGAGGTTCTCTGATCTTTTCTGATGTTATTGAAGCCACCCGAAATTTCGTGAAGTTCTCATAAAGTTCTACACCCGAAAATTTTCCCTGAAAATGTCTGGATTTCTGTAATGTTTCCAAAATATGTATGAAGTTTTCTAAATTTCTCAGAAGTTCTCTGGCCTTAATCCTGAATTTAGAGAAATAATCCTTTGCAGATCTTTTAAGTTTCCCAAAACTCTGGAGTTTTCTGAAGTTATTGGGGCTGCCCGAGGGACTGCCCTTAAGATCTATGAGCTTGTCTAAAGATCATAAGAACTAGCTAGTCTGAGGTTCCTGGAATTTCTATAAAGTATCCACAAGTTATTTGGACTTCTCTGGAGTTTTCTAGACTTCCTCAAACATCTTCAAACTTCTTAATAGTTCCTGCAGTTTCCATGAAGCTGTTGGAACCACCTTGAAGTTCTTAAAGCTTCCCTGAAGTGCCCACAATTTTATAAAAGATCTCAGATTTTACCTGTTTATTCCACAGTCTGTCCATGGCATTTTCGCGAAATCCCAAGCATGTCCTTTCATCATTCCTCGATTTTTTTATAAAGTTAGTTAACATTTTTAGACCGCTCTGAAGTTCTCCAATGCATTCGGAAGTTCTCATTATTCTTCTGAGGGTGTTTCTGGAACTGCCCTGAAATCAATGAAACTGTTCTGAAAATATTTTAACATCTCGACGTTTTGTGCAGTATCTTAAATTTATTGGAGCCTCTGTGAAGATTCAGAAATATTAATTGAGTTCTTCCCGGATGTTCTCTGATAATCTTTGATTTCTTGCTATTTTTCTATTTATAACTGGCTCAAAATTTGTAACCCTCGTCTAGGGTGATAATTAATAACCCACCATTTTAATGTGTTTGCCACGAGCGTACGCCTTGTCTGTTTTGATTTGTTTTTGTTTTGGTCGCACGCTCGGCAACATACTCACCACTGCTCTATTTCTAAATATTTTAATTTGTTGTTTTCTTAGTAGATTTTATTCGTGTAGGCATGTTTTAGGATTAGAATGTAGTGTAAAAATTATCGATTTAAATTGTCTCGCGATTAGAATAAAATAGGTCCCGTTTCTCCTCCCGCTGCAAAAGAAAGCGAAAAATATAAGCAGCACAACATTCGAGCGCGGTTGCAGGAGAACAATGGCGGTTATTGTATTGTCGGTGATTGTCAGCTAGTACGGAAAGGAAAGAAAGTTACGAACCACGAGAAAGTGACGCGTTTTTTCCCCGTCCGTTTGAAGTGAAAACGAGAAGTTGGAGTGCCGTTTTCGTGGCGTGTGTCCGCTGCAGGGATAATTCCCAGCATCGTCGCGTGGAATTTACGTCGTTTCCCCAAAAAGTGCCGTGGTTCGTGAGCAGAAGCAAAGGGTGTCGGATCACCGCCAAGGGAAGCTAAATTTCAAGGATTCTTCTGCTTCCCGGCTAAACCCCAAGGATCCCCGAACACCCACCGTCCACACTGCGGTGGCTCAGCCAGTAGAGCCAGTCTCGCCACCGCAGTTAAGAGCCAAGGAGGGACGAAGCAGGCCGAACCGAAGGAGCGTTCGCCTGGGTAGTGCACTGCGGTGACTACCGGGACCATCTACTGCGAGTAGTTGGTCCGGTGATTCGTCACCATCGTCGCCGAGGATTTCCGATAAAGGAGCATTGCTCATCCCCTCGCTAAACGCCAAGGACCGCTGCTACGCAGCTAAAGTGAAGTAGGAGACGCTCGGCACAGACCGTGTCTGGAGCCGACGTGAACAAGCCGCAACCGCCGCCGCAACCACCGCCGCAACCGCCGCCGCAACCACCGCCGCAACCGCCGCCGCAACCGCCGCCGCAACCGCCGCCGCAACCGCCGCCGCAACCGCCGCCGCAACCGCCGCCGCAACCGCCGCCGCAACCGCCGCCGCAACCGCCGCCGCAACCGCCGCCGCAACCGCCGCCGCAACCGCCGCCGCAACCGCCGCCGCAACCGCCGCCGCAACCGCCGCCGCAACCGCCGCCGCAATCGTCGAAGGGCCCCACCGTGTGTCACCGAGAATCAGCGAGGAGAAAGGGAAGGTTAGATTATCAATAGACGTCTTAAATTTCAAATTTCTTTCTCTTTCAGTTCATCAATCCATCCAAATCCGAACGTCTTTGGGGAAAGTACTCTGCTCGTAGCCGCCCCGCCGGAGTAAATCGGGCCAGCTATAGGCTGGCAGGTAAGCCGCAACTTTCAAATTCTCGAAACATATTTGAAGCTCACTTTCCAAAAGTTCCCGCGATTTTTAAATTATTCAAAATCTTTATACTTCTGATTGCAAGTTTCCTGAATCGAATGGAACAGTTTTTGAAATTTTTCTGAAATTTATGGAACAGCCCTGAGACCATTGGAACCTAATATTATGGATCTTAACACTTTACCGTAATTCTGGAAGTTTTTGAAGTTCTCAGCAGTTTCTTGAAATTCTCGGAAATATCTCGAAATTCTCAAAACTATGATTCCCGCCATTTTTCTGATGTAAAGGAGAAGCTAAATGACCCGTTTTTTCTAAAAAAAAAGATCAGAATTTGCGTATTTCCTGAGGAACAGCATTTCGAAGCAAACAATGGCAAACAATTTAAGTTAAAAACTTGTTTTTCAATTTTCTTTTCGCTTTTTTTTATGTAAGGAATCATGAAATCAAGTTAAAAATTGTTTACAGTGTTGCCAAATGTAATTTTAATTTTTTAGCCTAAAGGCTGACTAAATGTAAATTGGTACGCACAAAAAGACCTGTAATTCGTGATTCAATAAGTTTAATAAGTCCATTAATGGTTGCTTTACAGTATTTGATGCATGATAGTGGTTTACCACCCATTGTAGCACGGAAACTAAATCCGACAGCAGTGGGCTCTCTTCTCTGTTTGTCTTGAACAAGCTTAATAACCTCTGATTGTCCTCAACATGTCGCTGTATGAAGGGCCAAAAACGGATTGGGTAGATCGATAGGCAAAGTCGCCTATACGCATCTACGGAACAAGAGAATCTCCTTCCAGCAACTTGATCAGCCAATTGGTCAAAAACACAAGCCCCCGAACAGGAAGATGCCCCAATGAGTGGGGAGAAGAGCCCGCCCTTTATCCACGAAATGTTATCAACAGGGAGTTGGCATTCCCACTCTCCCCGTCCAAATCCCTTCAATCGGGTGCCCTGTTGGACCGTCCCTTCCCTTTTATTTATGTATTTCAATGTATATACGAGTTGATTGTAATGGTTGCTTTTCAGTATTTTTACTAAAACTTCAAAGTTACAGCATTGGATGGTTACATTTCTCCAGTTTGAAAGAAATCTCTAACCTTCCTATTGATGGAGCCCATCAGCGCCCGCACAGTGGAAACGAACACGGAATCAGCGCATTTCTTCCATTTTGACCGCATTTGCTGGATGTCCTTGACGGCACCGCTGTTTCGTCGAAGTCGCTGCTTTGAAATTGCTCAGTATTTTTCGATTGGTCGAAATTTCGGGTGATTCGGAGGATTCATTAGCTTGGGGACAAAATCGATCTTGTTGGCAGCATACAACTCCAGAACCACCTTGGAGTAGTGGCAGCTGTCCAAATCGGACCAAAAGATGACACAAGAGCCTTGCACGCTTTTTGGCCACGGAATTCTGCTTCATGTGCCGGTTCGGATGTTTAATGGCTTTGTACGACTTGTATCCTTCCCTAGCAAGGATATTCCGCACTGTTTGAAAGTTGGCGTTGTACCTTCTGGCCACATCTTGGATCAAAAGACCGGGGTTGGCTTTAGCGCACATCAACACCTTGCTGCGCAGCTTACGATCCCTGGCTCCAGTTTTTTCGTTGATTGCTTTGTACACTCAGGGTTTCCTTGTAGGTTTTGAGCACTCGACAAACTGTTGTTTTCGGCATCTTCAGTCCTTTAGCCAGCTTGGCACCGGACCACTCCGGATTTTCCAGGTGTTTGTGCACAATATTTTTTCTTCTTTCGAGATCCATTTGACGTTATTTCTGAACGCGATCGACTACTTTGATCAAACTTGCACCAGTTGTTCTCTATAGAAGTGTTAACAAACTTTCAAAGATTTTCGATTCCCAACACTAGAGGCGTGCTAGCGGCGTGCGAGGGGCGTATCAATTTACTTTTAGTCAGCCTTTAAAACCTTAATGAAATTTAATGTGGATATATTTGATTTGATAGTACCATAGAGGTAACTCTAAGACCAGAATGTCCCGTAATAACGTGCTCAACTTTTTGGCTCAGCTCTGGTACTCTCTTCGGTCCCAAGCTAATCGAATCACCCCTCGAAACATAGGAAAAACCAATAACCCCTCATTTTATCTGTCAAACTTTCATAGCGAATCAAAACGAACATTGCGTAGTACTAGAATTTCGACTAGAATGGGATACGTTAATCGTTTGCTTGGGACCAATAGGCTGGTCAAGTAGTGAGCCAATTTAAAATCGTTAGTTTCGTATTGATTGTTGATAGTACTATCATAGAGGTAACTCTAAGACTAGAAGGTCCCGAAGAAACGAGCTCAACTTTTTGGCTCAGCTCTGGTACTCTCTTCGGTTCTAAGCTAATCGATGCACCCCTTGAAACATAGGAAAATCCACGAACCCCTCATTTTACCTGTCAAACTTTTATAGCGAATCAAAACAAACATAGTGTAGTACTAGAATTTCGACTAGAATGGGGTACGTTAATCTATTTGCTTGGGATTAATAGCAACAATCAATACGAAACTAACGATTTTAAATTGGCTCACTACTTGACTAGCCTATTGGTCCCAAGCAAACGATTAACGTATCCCATTCTAGTCGAAATTCTAGTACTACGCAATGTTTGTTTTGATTTGCTATGAAAATTTGACAGATAAAATGAGGGGATATTGGTTTTTCCTATGTTTCGAGGGGTGAATCGATTAGCTTGGGACCGAAGAGAGTACCAGAGCTGAGCCAAAAAGTTGAGCACGTTATTTCTGGACCTTCTGGTCTTAGAGTTACCTCTATGCTAATAGGCTAGTCAAGTAGTGAGCCAATTTAAAATCGTTACTTTCGTATTGATTGTTGGTTCTATCGTGTTCCACAGGCTTTTTTAAATATAAGATAGATTAATCAAAAATGGGTCAAAGTACAGACTTATGCTTTCGAATGATTGGCATTGTTGTTTCTTATTTACTTCCATCGTCTTGATCCAAAGTCAATTATCAAAACAGACAAATAAGCCTAATGCTTAACATTTTGATTCAACGGTTAGTTTGGTAAATGGTAGTGTTGCCGGCAGTTAGCTTTGTCACCTACTATACAGTTTGAATCGTTTAAACACTACCACCATTTTTCGAGTAAAGTGCCCTCCACAGTGTAGTCAACAGATGGCAATAATGGCTATTGGTTTTTCAAACTCTTCGATTGAATTCGCTGCCTTAAAGTGTTTTCGGAAAGGGTGTTTTTTTGGAAAGGGCCCAACAAGTTTCGATTGATTGGGCCTCCGGACAATTTCGAGGATTCATCTCGTTTGGCCGTATTGCACATTATTTGCTTTGTACCGAGCTATCGTGTCTTTCGAGTAGTGCATTGAAACCAAATCGGACCAAACTAGTACTGGGCCATCTTGTTGGCGGATCATGGGCCGCACAAGCCGATTTAAACACTCCTGAACGTAAATTCCAGTGTTCATCGTTTCCTTCGTCACAAATGACTTACCACACTCACATATCGCTGGCCAAACCATGGCCTTCTTACTAAATTTTTCGGTAAACATTGACTTATCGGCATCGTCAACTTCCTGACCATGACAAACTGTGTAGTATTGGTCTCCTGGAAGCGTCTTGTAGTCAAATTTGACGTATGTTTCATCATCCATGATAACACATGCCGATTTTCCGCACAGCGGGGTATCATATAGCTTCTGAGCCCTCGGTTTGAGAATATGGCTTGTTTCTGACTCCGTTTTGGCTACTTCTGCTTCTTGAACGTTTTCAGCCCGTTTCTTGCCATGGCACGTTGGACGCTACTCTTCGATGTTCTCAGTTTTTTGGCCAAATCTCGAACAGAGGCACTTTTCTTATTGACGAAAGCTTGGTGATCTTCTGGTCCAGTTTTCGGTCCAGCGGACCAGATTTTGATGTGCTCTCGAAGGTAACCTCCTCACCGAACTTCCGGCTGGCGGTTTGGGCTGCTCCGATACTCTCTTGCTCCATTTTCGCCAACTTCCTTACTTATAGGTTAGGAATTGAGCTCCATTTGTGCATGATATGTTTGCGCTTTTCCGGGGAAAACTGGTTGAGCAATAAGTAAACAACAGCACACATTGATGAACAGCTGATAAACTTCATCGGGACAGAAATGGCGCTGATTTGAAAGTGTGCTTATACTTTCTGGGACACCCTATAGATGTTTTTTTCCTTTATTATTGAGATTTTTAGCCAGTTGTCTAGTTCATCTCAGAGTAAATACTTAAATACTGAAGAACACGATGGTGCTATCAAATCAAATATTTTAATCAAATCTAAAAATTCCTATTAATGCTTTTAGTTGGAAAACTAAACATAAATTTGGTAACATTGTCAATTATTATTCCTGATTTCATGTTTTTTTTTTATTATATAGAACATTTGAAGCAGTAGGTGTTAAAAATTATTTTTTTACTTTGAGGAGCGGGTGAAAAGAAAATTGAAAACCTTGTTTTTTTTTTCCATATAATTTTCTTTGCTTCAAAATGCTGTATCTCAGGAAATTAGCAAATTACATTTTGTCCATCAGTTTATCTTATGTAAAAAGGATGGAGGGCATGATGGTGCAGTCAGATTGGAATTCTAAATATATTCACTCTGAGAAAATTGCCTTTTATGTATTTAAACGCAAATATAAAATATTTGGCAGCACTGTATATAAATAAAAAAGTCATATTTAGATTATAATTTCCGGCGATATAGCTAAAAGATAGTAGTGCATTCTTAAAAATCACGAAAAATACAAAATGCTCCGCTCCCAAATATTTGGATTCTTAAAAGTTAGACTAAAATAAACATCTTATCCAAATTTGGTCCAAATCGGAAGAGGTCAATTTCACTTTTCTCGGTTACTTGGACCGGAATGATCCAGCTGTAAATCAGTTTGAAATCATCCGTAAAAATAATCATCCTTCTAGCAACTCTGTCCTTCTCCCAACGCACACCACCCAAATCCATCCGAACGAACCTTTCTCTCCCGCAACTGATAACAGATTGTTACTGGCTTCGTGTCGCGAAAGCTCCAGAGCATCATTCTCCTTCAACAACATACCCACGAGCCACGATATTCACTGTCCACAACCGCAGGGAAACTCAACCCGTATCAGTTTGTCCTGGGCAATCGTCGAGAGCGGTCGCGACTATCCTCTCAAGCTAAGGAAGACCATCGGAGCAGTTGATCGGACCTAAGACTGGTTCTTCCCACCCAGAAGTCGTGGCGTGGGCTTGCATAGAAATCTAGCTAGGGATACACTCTACGGAGGTGGGATCCTTATTCGGTAGTGACCGCGTGCGTGCTTTTCACTCCCTCTCTGTTGGTGTTTGTGAGTTGTGGAAAGTGGGTGAAACTGTGTGTGGAGCGGAAAAAAGGCTCAATTGCCAAGGATATCTGATTTTTTGTTGTCCCGTTTCGGAAGTTGGTTGATCCTGCGAGTTGTTCCTCTTTTTTCGTTGTTGCTTTCATTTCGAATGGGATTAAGTGCTGCTTCAAGGGTATTGTGTGGCACCCATCAGCGACGACGAGGACGACCGTAGGAGAATAGCAGCAGCGTGCCGCAGAAGAATCATTACGCGCGTGTTGTGACCGAACATCAACTCCCCCCGGAAACATATACAAGGGGATCTGTACAATATCAAGTGAGGGAAAGATTTTTTTTTACATTCCATTACGGTCTGTTGGAAGAAAATACCAAGAACGGTTCTTTCCAGCTCTATAAATCATTTGGTTGTGTCATAAAAAAGAAATCGTTCAAGAAGGAAAAAAGTGAAACGGAACGGGTGCGAGAATCCTTCACCACAAGTTGAATTTAATTTAAGGCGCAAAACGAAGACGTCCGGAAAGCGTTGAAGCTGAAAGTGTACAGTGGCTAGCCGGGGAAAAATATAAATAAGGAGAAAGTGAAAAAAAAACGGGAAATTGGAAAAGTTTACGGTGAACTGAACGAGGAAGTGAAAAAGAGTGCAAACGAGGAGGCTCGTTCCTTTGAATTTCCAGAGGAACCACAACATCGACTGCAGCAAATTCCCGGTTGGTATTAATTAAATCTCTATGTGCAGGGCAAAGGGATAGTGAAGTAGGTATTTGAAATTTTAAGGTTTTCATTGTTTGTGTTTCTTCCGGTGGAGGCGATTCAGTATCGGAATGGAAGTTTTTCCAGAGAAAGTTTTCTTTCTGCGCCGAAAATGTTAAAAGCGGTTTCCTGTAATATTCGTTAATTTATTACACTTGATGGGAAGTTTGGTTGGAGTCGTAAAAGTAGAGCACCACGAAGGAATGGAAACTGCGTTGGGTACGGTAGGAAATTAGGATGTCCATTGGCACAAGCATTAAATATGCATTTCATTGTCGTCGTTACTATAAGAGCCTGCTATCCGGATTCATGGCTTTTTAACAGAATGATTCACTGGTAACTGACACATTCGAAGTAGCAGTTTTTGTTGCGCTTCAGGACAAGGTTCAGGCAAGCCCCATCCAGGGCTGGCAAATGTCATTTTCAATGAAAGATCTCACGCGATATTTACAGAGATACTATCATCGGATGAGAAAACGGTGATAGAGATTTTTTTTCAAAATCTAATCGAATTTTTTGTCATGACAGAACGTGGCATCATCGACAACTAGAAGCAAGATCATCGTAACTAGAAGCTCATTTATTGCTATTAAAGTTACTTGTACCGAGGAAATCTTAATAATGTATTCGCTTTACTGATTACATACGGTGGCTTGCCTTAATTCATCTAAATCAGTTATAAATGTTGATGTCAAAACCACATAAGAATTATTCTCACGAGTACTTGATCATTGGAAAATGACAAGAAAGCTAATGATAGGTAGTTTCGTCTAGTGATATTTTCTGTTTTCTTATTGTCAAATGACGGCCGTGATATTTACCAGCTCTCAGTGTTCACTCGGCTGTCAACAGAAGCAGACCACTCTCAATGTGTGTCACGCGACTCACGCGATCGTCTGTTTACTCGGCAGCAACCATTGTGTGGTCCTCCTCATTGTTCTTCATCAGCAGTTTTTTCAGTCGATGCGTCGTCGACTTTGCAAAGCAACCGTTTCGTGATGAATGTGTGAGTGTTGACCACGTTTTGCGTCCATTGCTACACGAAACGAAAATCAATTATTTTATTCATGTGTTTCACTTATACATTTTTGCCATTACATCAGCCTTATACATTCCATAAGACAAACCACATAGGTCCTATAAGAATGCAGAAAAGGTATGTGTGACCGCTTATACATTTCATTCAACACATGATCTTCATTAACTTTTTGCAAGGCGTCTGCTTATTAGTTGACTTATACTTTTTATGAATAATTAGCAATAGAAATTTGCCAAAAGGTATAAGGAGATTTCTATCCGTGTACAATGGAAGCGCTCTGACCCTCGTTGGCGAATCTGCCATACAAGTAAACCACTGGAAGCGGCTCCCGTTCTGGTAGAGGAGGCTTATTGGATAGCGGAAGATAAAATGTTTATTGTGTTGTACCTATATAGACTAAGATGCGTTGTATAGTGAACAAGAATCCTCGGCTCTGTAAAGTTAATTTGGTTGAGCTTTATCAAATAAATTAACAATAATAATATTTACCAGCTCTGGCCCCATATGCTCTACAGCTTCGCGTTTTCAGAACACAAATTTCACCTTCCAGATCTGATCTTAGTTCTGCACTCAATGCTTGCTTCCCTGGGATTAACACTGTGTTGCATTTTTGGCTTGATGATATTCAGCACTAGCATTGACCAAGTTTTACAATACTCTTGGTGGTATACGAATTCAAGACTATTGTTAAAAGGAAGACTTGCATTGGCGTTGGCGATTCAAATTTGACATCGACAAGTATTTCGATTATTAACCCCCTCCCCCCTGTATCGCGCCTTTACCAATACCTATTTCACATACTGTCAAAAATTCTAGAACCCCCTCACTCTCCCACTCTTGCAAGATTTTTCTATCAGAGGATGTGGAGTTGAGATTGGGAGAATTAGAAAACGATACTTGAACTAGAATGTTTACTCTTCATAGATTTTTTCAATTCCACAAAATTTATCTGATAAATTCAGCATCGACAAAAAAAATTTGTTCTAAAGCAACTCCTCCTAGCTCTGTATTTGCGATTGTGCCAAGTTTAATTATTGTTTCAAATTGCAACATGGTGCTAGAGTAGAGTTTTTACAATAAGGCTTGCCAATACTGATTTAGCTCGCGATTATATATTTTAGCTTGTTTTGATTGTATTTTTTAGCTTGTTTGATTGTATTTTTTATACTGCCGCTCTTATTGCGCTAAAAATCAACATTGGTAGTTTAGAGATTTTACTTCTAAATCTGATGCTTCGAGAGATCTTTCCATGTTCTCCAATCTGGATGCTCTCAGCGTTTCTGCATTAGTCGGAGTTGCACAAGACTGTTACCCGGAGTTCCAAGAGCTATTAAAATAACTAGAAACTTCCAGTCCAGGGGCCTCATCAGGCCTGTCATGGTGGTTACTTATGGTTACTCCATGAGTAACCAGCTCTGATAACCGATTTGTTTTTATTTAAATCAAAACTAACTGTGCGTGGTGTGTTCCAAAATGCATAAGCAAATTCATTGACACACTTCTATTAATCAAACTCACACTCAATCCTTTAAATTTGTCGAACCTCTTAACGGAATCCCTTTATGAATAGCTTTGAGTGTGTTGGTTTATTTCCTTTACATTCCGTTATAATTGCTTATCTTTTGACAGATACGAGTATTTCGTCTACTACTTGCAGACTTCATCAGTGCCAAGTACTCAACACCACTGAAGAATCCATCTTTTATCTACGAGTTATACACTAATCAATAGGTACTAAAATTAAGCAGGTATCCACTGCCATGTCAAAATTTACCTAAATTCAGTCTCCAACAGGTAGAGGCATGCTATGATGTGTTGTTTTAGGTAGCATGCTAAAAGGCCGGCGCACAATGCATACGTTTTCGGGTTTTTTGACAGATAATGCATGGGCTAACTGTCAAAAAACCTGAAAACGTATCTATTGTGCGCTGGCCTAAAGAGTCTCGAGTATCCGTTTCCTTGATATCTATTAAGCAATGTTGATGGATTATGTTTAAATATTTCTAAACTTTCAGCTACGTCTAGTTTCCAAGGCGAAGATACAGTCCGCAGGATATTAATGTTATCCTTAGTCAAATTGTGCTCCTTTGTAACGATATGCTCTGCAACCTTGGATTTAAATTCATAATGAAGTACTTTATCCATATCTTTGTTAGCCTTTTTTACCTCTGCGATGCGTTCCTTAAACCTTGTTTCCAAAGTCCTTTTCGTCTGACCAATGTAGATATTATTGCAATCTGGATAAGAGATTTTGTAGACTCCGGCTTTCCCTAAGACATTTGTTGAATCTTTTGTTGATCCTAACAGTCACTTCAGCTGATTTGTCCTGCTGCTGAATACTAAATCTAGGCCAAAACTTCTAAACTTTGAAATCAATGGTTTGGTAATGTTTTTGTTAAAATTCACCGCTACCCGTTTAAACCCTCAGTTACTGGTGTAAAGGCCGGCGCACAATAGATACGTTTTCAGGTTTTTTGACAGTTATCCCATGCATTATCTGTCAAAAAACCCGAAAACGTATCTATTGTGCGCCAGCCTTAAGAGTTGTCGAAATACGCCTAAAATAATCCCTTGTTCTTTTATCGATTGCTGCTTGAATTGTTTTTTTCTTGATACCCATTAAGCCTAGCGATTTCAAAAATGTGAGCTATTACAAACTAGGAAACGATATAAGGGAGATTATCTGGGCTGAAGGATCCCCCACTCATAAGCTTGCCAAGTTGAGTACTTGGTACTGATGAAGTCTGCAGGGCGCGTATCTGTCGAAAGATAAACAATTATAACGGAATTTAAAGGAAATAAACCAACACACTCAAAGCTCTTCATAAAATTAAGCTGCAAACATCTAACATACTGTAGATTCAATCAGCGTCTTTAAATGCGAAATTGATTTTATTTGGGTCACCTTACGAATGCTTATGTGCTTTTGTGAAAACAGGTAGGATATATTTGAACACTGCTTTAAATGTGTTGCTTAATTGGCACATCCTATGTGATTTAAATGAAGAGGGCCAAAAACTGGAGCAGGGCCAATGAATGGCTCACTTACCCTACCTACATATCCATAGGCATTAAGGAATTTTTGAATGCTAATTTACACTAGGACATAAAACATAATCCAAACATTAAACAGCAAAAAAGGTTATCTTCCATGTAATTTAACTTAATTAATTTTAACTACGTATTTCGACTAAAATACTACAATACATTCCCACTAAAGAACTTATCAAAATCTAACCCTATTAAGTACTCATAGTACTCATAGATTTTAAAAAGTTCTTTAGTGGAAATGACACTGATGAAGACTGCACATTGTAGTCGAAATAAGTATCTGTCATGGATACCCAAATTAATTAAGTGGAATTAAATGGAACATAACCTTTTTTGTTGTTTTATTCAAGCATTACGCTAACAACCCAATTTCATTACCTTCATAATCCAAATATCTAAAAATATGTTTGGCATGTGAATGTATCATCCGTAGTTGGTCGGTTTTTAAACGTTTTTTTGAAACTTCAAGACAGTTTAACTATTTTCTGGAAAATAACAGGAATTTTATAAAAGTTCTAAGAAATTTAGGGAAGTCTAGAAAAAAATCAGGAAAGTAGGATCATATTAGAGCAATTTCGAAAACATTTCCAAGAACTCGAGGGAATATCCGAAACATTCAGAGAAACTTTAAAAACTTCAGGCATGTTTCGAAAATCACAGAAAACTACAGTACTTTGAGATGTTTAAGAGTGAATTCCGAAGGGTACAGGGCAGTTCAATGAACTTCAGGAAAATTTCGTGAACTAAGATGAATATCAGATAGCTGCACGACAGTTTTATTAACTTCATAACAATTCCAGAAACTTTGATATAGTGGAAACTTTATGCAAGTTCCTAAAACTTCAGGAAACATTCGAGAACTTAAGG